GCTTTGTGGTTGCTGCTTGCAACATCCGTGGTCTGAGTTGTGGTGCTCAGTGAGCTGCTCAGTTGCCTGTGGCTTGGGCAAAACCCTTATCACAGCTTTCCTGCATTCCTGGTAAATGGATCTCTTGCTCCTTTGCCCTCTCTTCATTAAGGATTTGAAAATTGCCCAAGCCATAATAATATCCAGCCACTTCTCTGGCTGTTGCTTTTGGCAGCAGGACAGAGCCTAGTGGTGGAATGGGAATCCTGTTGGATGGAAGCAGCTTGCAAAAGCTTAGGACATTCTTCTCAGTGGATAAATGGGCAGGGAAAAGGCAGGGATATATATGGCATGTTTGGTGGGCTAGTTGCTTCTCCAGTGCTACGTGCAGCACAATAATAGACATCACCACTGCCAGCTTTACTCCCTTTTGAAGTGCCATCCTTACAAATGCTGGTGCTCTGGAATGAGGTTAAATGTGTGTTGGATGGATTGGAAGTTCAGGCTCTGAAAATCTTGTTGCAGTGCTGCAAGATCTTTCTTAAAACTTTGCCCACCAAAATAGCAGAATTGCCTAAAAAGAGTCTTGTGATCAGAACTTTGATCATCCAGAGGCAGATACCGGAAAAAAAAGTCAACAACATGGAGTGACTTTCCAGACTGAAAGGAAATCTGGATGTGGCCAACCCTCCGTGTGCCCTCTGGAATCCTGACAGGAAGTTCTCATTTTCTGCCCTTCATTTTCTGGAAGAGCAAACCCTGCTGCTGCTGTGGGATGGAAGTGCCCCATCCATCCACCCTCAGAACATGTTCCCCTGCAGCTTGGAGCCACACCTGTATTCCTGCAGGTCCCCAAACCATTTAATTACTGAACCCCATGCAAACTGAGCGTTGCCATGGCGACCTGCAGCCCTAGAGAAGGCTATTTGTCTCCTCCTTGACCTTTCAGGAGATCCGTATCTTCCTCAAGCCCCCTTCCATAATCCGGTTTTTAAAATATAATATTATGCTGCTGGAAGGGATCAGACCTTTAATCTGCTTGTGTGTGCATGTGTCAGTGCATGGCTGGGGGTGCTGCTTTGGGGCACCCTGCAGGGTTCAGGGCCAGACAGGGCACAGCACAGTGTGACTGCCCTGCTGGGGCTGCAGGTGAGCTCCCAGGGGGAAATTCTTGCCTTTGGCACACAGGTGGAGGAATCCTCTCCCTCTCCATTCATTCCCCTTGGTGTGGGCTCCTTCCACACAGGTCATGCAGCAGTTGGGCTTTTGCTGTACTCTGCTGGTATCCCCAAAGTGCATGTTCTGGATCCTGACCTGAGGTCTTGCAAGCTGGATGTTCTTCTACCTGTTGTGTTCCCTCCATGTCTGTGAACTGGGCTGTGATAGGTGCTGGACAGGGCCTCTTTTATGGGATGTGGGAACAAAAGTCTGCAGCCAGCAGTTAAGAGTGAAGAATAATAGAATTAATGGAGTGGTTCGGGTTGGAAGGGACCTTAAAGACCATCTCGTTCCAACTCCCTGCCATGGGCAGGGACATCTTCCACTGGCCCAGGTTGCTCCAAGTTCCATCCAACCTGGTCTTGGACACTTCCAGGGATGGGGCAGCCACAGCTTCTCTGGGTAGCCTGTGCCAGGGCCTCCCCACCCTCACAGGGCAGAATTTCTTCCCAATATCCCATCTAACCCTGCCCTGTGGCAGTGGGAAGCCGTGTTCCCTTCTCCTGTCACTCCAGGCTCTTGTCCAAAGTCCCTCTCCAGCTCTCTTGGAGCCCCTTTAGGCACTGGAAAAAATTTTAGGGCTGGGAATGCAGCTGCAGTGAATGTGCAAAAAGAGGTGATTTCTGAAAATCACTGTTATCTGGGCAGAGCTCTCCTTCCCAGCTACATCACTGAGAGCTGGTGGAGTACTGGAAGAACTGAGAGTCAATTAAAAGTTAAACTTTCACTCCCTTTATTAAATAGCATGGGCATGAAAGCAGTTAGTTGGACTTTGTGGGAGGTTCGGGGAGGTCTCTTGTTAAAATTATGTAAGTTTACTGTCTTGTGCAGTCCTGAGTGAGGAGAGGGTGGCAGAGCTGTCAGCTGCAGACCCAAAGCTGGTGTTTTGTTCTGTTACTCCATTATGGTGGTAGAAAGCCCTGTGGGTTTAGCAGAGCAAGTGTGTCCCTTGTTAGAGCCCACACAGTCCCTGCAGTCTGATTTCAGCTGTGTGGGGCTGCCTTTGCTGGGGCAGTTTGGCCACCAGCGTTTTAAATAATGCTGAAATCCTTCACCTGTGCAGAAAGATCTCAGTTTTTCATAAAAGTCTCTGGTTACCATTCATTCTCTTTTCTCCTGCGAAGACTTGAGCCCCAGCTCTGTGCTTCCACCTGAGCCAGGTGTAGGATGAGCCCAGAACACAAAGGCAGCCTCTGCTCCAAACCTCCCGTGCACCAGGGCAAAAGGAACAACTCCTGGGGACAGTTTGATGTGTTAAAAGCTGTCTCGGCCTGTTTGCTTTATCTTGAGACTTTCTTCCCTTTCCTCTCAATGTCACCTTGGTGTTCAGTTTGCCTTCTGCAGAGGTATTCCAGCGAAATCCTGTTTTCCTGGGATTCTGCCTAATTGTGTGGGTAGACTGAGTGGAGTTCAAAGCCTGTGACTGCCTGTGAGCCCTGTGGTACCTGCTCCTGTGTGGAGTGATGACTTGCTAATGCACCTTTGCACCCCGTGATGATTTTCGTTTTAAGAGCATGGAAGATCTCCTAAAAAAACCACAAGAATTTTGGGGAAGAAAAAAATACCACCTCTGGTGTGGTAATGTTTCCTTCCGTGTGTTTTTGTTGGATATATCACAGCTTTCTGCACTCTTTGAGTTTTGGAGAACCCAGTTAAGGAGCTGTGCTGTGCTCTTCTCCGGGAAGTTGAGTTTTAGTGGTGGGTAAAACAATTCCTCCTCGTAGCTAAACGTGTTTACAGTGCCGTGGGCTCGATTGGGATGCAAGACACTCTGCAAATGCGAAGATGTAATTATCCCATTTTTCTCTTCCTACTCCCTGCCTCTCTCCCCCTGCACTCAGGGCTCCTCTCCTCCGCCCTTTCCCCGGCGTTGTGCTGATGGCAGCGTTTATCTGCATTTGTCCTCTGTCCCTGACATCCAGTTATTGATTGGCATGATTAAAAAGAACTGATAATCACCTCACATTAATCCCATAAATGACTTAAGACACCAAAATATTTGCATAATGCATCTTAAAAGGTGGCAGCTAAAAGAGGATAAGACCCAAAACTGCTTGGCACAGGAGAAATGGGCTTCCCACTCACCTGTGGGCTTGCTTAAGTAATTAGCCTTCTGCTTGCATAAGGAGGAATCTGAACTGGTTTAGCGGAGGAAGATGCAATGGGTGCTCAAAGGCTTTGGGATCTGAGCATCCCTTCTCCCAGCTGAGCCCGGGGGCGGGCGGGGGGAGCAGCGGGAATGTGGCAGCGGCTGCCGGAGGAGCGAGCGCGGCGGGGCTGTTTTTGTCTGCAGCATCCTGTGAAAATCTGGAGCCAGACGCCCGCTGAAAGTACCTCTGTCTAAAGACTTTCTGTCATAAACTTATCTGATTAGCAGGGGAGCTAGACGACAGATTAGCCCCTGCTCTCCAGCAGCAGGGATGGGCTCTCCCGGGAGCGCATCCGCTCCTGGCGCTGGGAGCAGCCTGGAGGTGGGGGCGCAGCAGGTGGGGAGGAGGTGGAGGTGGGGGGGGGGGATAAGAGGGGGATATTTAAAGGAAGATCATTGCTAGGTAATTCTGCAGATAATGCACCCTCCGTGCTGCCCTGCTGGTCCCAGGTGAGGACACTCTCTGCCGCCAGTGCGTTGGTGTCATGTGCTGTGTGTCACAGCAGCACAGAGTGGGTGCACTTGGCATGTGAGTAGAGCTGTGGCTGTGGGAGGGGGGGGCAATATTGCTAATATGTATGGGGGTTTTTGTGTCTCCGGTTCTTCTGGCTGTCATCTTCCATTTAAAGGGAGGGGAGGAAGAAAAATAGCCACGTTTAGCTCGGGGCAAGCACCTTGTGCTGGAAGGATGGGGAGGTTTGACATACTCTGCAAACAAACAAAAGGGAGACATTCCAGCATTGCCAGTTAGTGCTGTGTTTTACCTTGTTCTTCCTCCTCACTGTTTGTATATCATTTATTCAGAAATATTTTGCAAGTGGATAGTGGTTGGCAAGCAGAAGCATTTGCCACTGAAATGCACTATCTGCCACAGTGAATGCTTTTTGTGTTCTCCCTCTCCATAGAAGGAAAAGAAATAGAAAAAAAAAAAAAGACTAAACTAGCCTACTTAGCAGCAATCTGATGCGAGGATAACAGGCAAAATAATGCTGAATTGCTCTAAAACATTCTCTTTTCCCAGAAGGAAGAGCATTGTTTCAGGATCTGTTAGAGGGAAGAGTTGAAAATTAGTTTAGTAAATAAATCTGTGCCCTCAGCTCTGAGTAATGCTGATGTCCGGGCTCGTGGTGGGTTTCTCTCTAAAGAGAAAAACTATTATTCAATCAAATCAAGCAGTCTTTTGTTCCAAGAGTGATGGAATGGAAAAACTTGGATTTTTTGAGAACAGAAGGGTGGCAACTGATAGAAAACTATCAGTTATTTCAGTTCAAGTTTCCTATTAATTCTGGAACAGACCTGCCAATTCCTGCACTTTCAGTTTTTCCATCCTAGATGTAAGTCCTGGCCCACGCAAGTTATATCTGGCAAAACAGAAATCAGGAGCTCTGGCAGCTGCAGAGTCCTTTATGGGAAATGAGAGCGCTGGCTGGGAAGGACTTTTTGCACTTCTCTCCCCAAAACTAGAGGAGGTTACCAAGGGTGGCTGGGAGGGGGGGAACAACCTTCCTTGGAATACAGCGGTGTCAGGGGCAGACAAAAGGCTCCTGCATGTGCACACACACACACACACACACAGATGCTCACACACACAGAAATCAATTATGTGGTGGCAAATAGGATTTCCTTAACTTGGTGCTTTTCTGCTCTGTTGCAGCCGCGATAACGACCTTTCCACTATCATCTCCAACCTGCACCAGAGCCGCCAGCTCGTTATGCCAGAGACCCAGAGCCGCTGTGAATTCAAGAGAAACAGCATCGAGGTTGGCCTGGGAGCAGCAGGTAAGGAGCTGGAGCAGGTCCTGCTGCTCTGGGTTTGTTGACTCCCCTCCTCTCCCTTTGGCTGCCTCGTCCGTTCGTTTTTCGGCAGCTGGTTTCTTTGTGTTACAACTCTCTGAGCTGTAGGAAGGGGTTTTTGAGTATTCTGGCTAAAGATTAACGTGGAAAGGATTTCATGGTGATGGTGAAGTCCTTCTGAGATCCCAGCCCCGTGTGTTATTCCCGGATCTAGTGGTCTGTGTTAGAGTACTGGCAAAGGAGCCTGCGCCAGCAGAGGAGTGAAATGTCCCCAGGGTTGGTGCCAAGTGAAGCAGAAAGGCCTTGCAGAGAGCATGATTTGATTTGTAATTTCATTAATCAGAGGTTCCCCGTGCTGCTGCTGTGCCTGCCAACTCCTTTGGGAGTGTGGTTGTTTGGTTTTGTAGAGCTGCCTGGTTTCTTTTTTGGATAGTTCACCTGGTTTCGGGTTAACGTGGTGGCACCAGAAATGCTCCTCTTGGATCCTGCCCTGTGCCTGTCTGGATGTCAGTGAGGGAGTGTGGGCACAGATGCTCTGGTGACAGTTGTTCATCAGTCACCAAGTGAGGCTCTGTAATAAACTGGAGCTCTGTTGATTGCAGGATCTGTGATTTGCCGTTGATTATAAATAAATGTTGAGGAAAACCCGTGATTTATGTTAGTTTTTATGTTGACTGATCCCTGCCCTTCCAAATCGGGGCCGGATCTCTATATGTGTTAATACAGGCCTTTCCTGAAAACCTGTCTGTTTGGGGATTTGTTCACATTTTTTTTTTCTTAGCCATTCTGTTGACTGTGTAAATTAACACCCAAATATGAAGGAAACACCACATCTTAACACCCTTTGGGAATGTCTTTGGAGGGTGCTCAGGAACATGACAGGTACCTGGTTGGCTTTTTGCCTCAGGTTTAACCCTTTCCTGACAGGTTTCTTCTGCCTGCAGTGGAATTTGTACTGGTGTGACTACTTCAGTGAAGTGTTCAGTGCCATGGATGTGTTGTGCTGAGCTGGGGGATTTGTGATATGTCTGTAGAGCAGCCATGGGCAGCTCCCAGTCTTTGCTTTCACATCTTCATATTCCTGCCTCACTCGTGAGCTGCAGTGCTCTCAGAGGCACTTGGGATCTGCTGCTAAAATGGTTTCTGTTGCTGGTTTATGGGTTTGGAGTTGGGCACATGATGCCAGTCAGGAGAGGTGGAGATTCCAGAGGCTGCTCTGCTGCTCCAGCTGCACATCCCCCGTGTGAGAGGTGAGTGTGTGCTGCTGGAACAGGACTCACCAGCCTCTGCTCCTTCCTGGCTGTGGCCAAGGTTAAGTAGAGGATCGAGAACAAGGATAGCCCAAATGGAAGATATTTGCTTTTTGCAGGGCCCATGAGGGTAGCAGGAGGGTTGAAGCTGGCAGGATTTGGCTGGTGTGTGATTAATTCTGTGAGGGAATTCCCTGATTTATAGTTAGAACTGGGATTAGGGGCAGTGCAATGGTTTTGAACAGCATGGACTGGAAAATGAGAAGTATTACTGGATCTTTAACGGTCTTTGAAATGCAGAAAGGGGCTGAATTAATGGAAAATAATTGTATATAGTTAGTTCTGGGGCTTTTATGACTTCTGGGAGATAGGAGGGGCTAGAGCCGGGGTTCAAGGTTAGAACTGGGCTGATGTTCAGGTCACAGGGGGCTGAAAAGACTTGACTGGGACATATAAGACCTTTGATTGGAAGAGCAGCACTGATTAATATCCTTGGAAGCCTTATGGATAACTTTTAAGTGAAAACAGGTCACTTTATGTCAATGGTGATGGTTATATTTGGGAACAGAGAGATGAAGAGATTAATTTGGGACAGCAGAAGCTGAAAGACTTGGAAAATAAATAACTGTGTCCTGAAAGACTCAGATAGAGTTTGGCCCTGCCTAGAGCAGGATTTAATAACCCACTTGGGTTGTGCAATAACACACAGAGGTGGGTTTGGAACAATAAACCTGCTGGAGGAGGTGCAGCCTTGGGGTTTGGGACAGCTGGGACCAAAAACATCACTGTATTTTGGATCTGGTGATTCTCAAAGAGCTGTAAAGGGTCTGGAATTATCAACACCGAGTGGCTCTGCTGTTTCTTGCATCGCTGAGGGTGTGATTAAGGCCAGTGTGGTGATTGTGACACGTTGGTGAGTGTGGCATCTACAGAAATCTGACAGCTACAGAGCTTTGAAAATAAATTTATCGTGGAAAAAAATGGAAGGACTGTTACTACTGTTCTACAGTGATAAAGGGGAAAGGGAGGTAGTTATGTTGCCAGCAGGTAAAATTTTATCAGAAATGTTGGACAAGATGCATAATTCCTCGTACCAGTTTTCGAGTACTTTGTAGGAGGTGAGTCAAGCAAGACAAAGAAGGGCAAATTCCTCAAGATCGTGAAGCAGATGAACAACAGAGCTCAATTCCCTGCTTTATCCTCTCTGACATCTCTGCTAAACTTCCATGTTGCTGTTCCACGGTGACAGTATGGAATAGATGTGGATTTTAGGGAGTCAGCACAGAGCTGATCTGAGGGTGGTGTTCCCCTGCTGCTGCTCTCTGCACTGAAGCAAGATGTCTAGCTGAGAACAGCTGACAGCCTAACTCATGTTTGAAGTCCCCTGATGCTGCTGCACCTTTAAAGGAAATCAGGAATACCAGTGCAAAATTCTACCAAAAAAGGCAAAAACCTGCTCCAGGTGGTTGTTCTCAGTGAGAACCTGGAGCCCTGGGCTGGCTGAGCCTTTTGCAAGGAGAGCAGAAGTTGGTGGCCAGAGGTGTGTGTGCTGATAAAATCTAATTGCCCTATTGATTGGCTTTGGAGCCACTATCAGTGGGGAGTGATTGAGATATTTGTGTGTGGGTGATGTGTGTTGGTTCTATCTCGCTGTTCCAGGGCCACTGGGGACCCTCAGGTGTTACAGGGATCTCTTAACCTTGGAGCAAACCTGTGTGTGCTGGGCCTGCTCTGCAGCACCACAGATTAATTATTACAATTGCCACTGAGGCACTTGGGTTTCTTCAGCTCCCAGGGGATCCTGGTTTCTGGGAAGAGCTGCCCTGTTTGTAACTCGGGATTCTTAACTAGGTGGAGAAATCCATCTTGCTGGTTTGGGATTTTACCCATCTGCAGCCTCTCACACTGTTCTTCCTTCTCATCTGGGTTGACTGGTGACAGTGTCATGTCCTCAGAGTTTTAAGAACAGTGTATCTCTGCTTTCTCTGCCTTTCTGTGTGCCTGGGAGTCGAGGTGCTTGCGCTTGCTAAATGCCTGTCCTCCAAAGGGTTGTGCAGATTCCAAGTGTGCAGGTGTTTGTTGTTTCCAGCACAGACTGGAAGAGCAGCAGTAAGTTCTTGTGGAGGTTCAGAGAGTGGAGTGTGAGGGAAGGGCCTCTCTGCCATCTCTGCTGCTCTTTATTGATAAAAATGATACCAAGCTCCTCTTCTGAAGTCTGGGTTATGTCTACACTGGGCTTACATCCAGCTGCTGGGTTTGATCTCCTACCACTTCCCTCGCCAGTTTTGGACCTTTTAAATTATTTATTTACTTATTTTTGAAACTTGGGACCAGCTAATGCAGCTGCTGGGAGGTGAGGTTGGGTTTTGGGCAGAGAGATACTATCCCTTTCCAGGGAAGAGAGTTGAGCAAGCACTTATGGGTGCCGACAAGTCTGCAGGGCTGCAGTTGTGGGGAACACCATGTAGAACCCACCTGGAAAAATAAGCTTTGGTGATTTCCAAAGCTCCCAGAACGTGAATGGTCTCTCCTCACTTGACCCTACAGGTTGATTTCTCTCTGCCCTGTCCTTCTCTCGTGGTGGTGATGGTGATCATCTGCAGTGGGAAGTGCTGGAGGTGCTTTCCTGGGTGCTAATTAAATTGCAGTCACGATGGGGATGCTCAACGTGCCAAGTGGAGGAAGAGAGGGAAAAGTACAAATATAATGGGGTTTGTGCTTCCTCAGGAACAGGCAGTGAGGCAGCTGCATTGGTGAGATTCGGTAAGAGGCTTAGGAACATCTGCAAAGGTAGAGAAGTGTGTTCCAGTGCCTCAGGGGGAGCAGGCACGTGGGAGGGGAGGGCAGGCAGGAGCCTAATGGGAATATAAAAGTCACTTCCAAAAGGATCAGATAAAGGCAAGGCAGCAGCCAGGGCACAGCACTGGCACTGCAGAGGGGTTTACCTTGAGAGGGGATGATGGCACAAGGAGCTTTAATCTTAATTGAGAGAGAGAGACACACACACACAAGGATGAGCAGAGCCAGGGCTGCCTGACAAAGGCACAGCAGCAAAGCTGACGGTTTGCACATCAAACAGGGATTTAGAACCCCTCTAAGCAGCTCGTGGTGTGGCTGTAAACAAGTCCAATCCCCTCTATCCAGTTTGGCTGATGCAGTCTGCCAGGGCCTGCGTGGGGTGGGGGAGGATGGAGGAGCCTCGTGGGGCTCTGTGGTTCACAGCGACAGCACAGGTGCCTTCTCCCTCGTGTGTGTGATTTCACACTGCTGTAGGGTTTGAACAAGCATCTTTTGCAGTAGAGTCCTGGTCCCAAGGCTCTAAGTAATTCCTCTCCTGCAAAAAAAAAAAAAAAAAAAATCCTCTTAATTTCTCCTCTTTTTCTCCTCAAACACCCTCTGTTCTGCAGCGCCACATTTCATGGCTTCCCAGTTGCAGTAGGACTATTTGCATGGATAGAAGTGGAGGAATCAGGCTCACTGATGCTAGAGGAAGGTGGGTAGATCTCCCCTCTCTTCCTTCTGCCCCTCGTGACTGGAGGGAGTTGGCTTGATGTGGATATTGTCTGAGAGGAGGCAGGACAGAGTGTCAGGTCTCTCTCCAAACAGTGAGCAGATCACTGTGGTTCTGCAGATAATATTGGGGACCACTCGTGGATTCGAGGTCATGGATTCAAGACCCCTTCCCCAGTGATTAGAGGCTTCCTTGGCCGTGGTGTGGGAAGCAGCAAAAGGCCA